AATGAAACAGAATGAATATTCTAATTAAATAGGATGTTATTCCCGTGACTAGTGTGTGACCATTTTGCGAAGCAAATGGTTACACGCTAGTATTAAAAAAATTTAGTAGACTAAAAGAAATTTTGACCAACTAGTAGTCGACTAAGGATTTTTTGGACGATTCCAACCTCTACAAAGCTTTAAGTCTTATGATGAATAAAAATTATTAGACTACAGAATTTTTTATTTATTTTTTCAAAATTCTGGTGTGTGAATTGCATTATATTTAAAATCTTCAAGTTCATATTATAGGGCTTCTGCATTGTATTTTTATATATTTTGTTTATTTTTTTTAAAAAAATATCTATGAAATTTGACTAGATTCACTATTCCAATTAAAGACATTGCCATAATTGGTTATTTGCGGCAATGTAACTACCATAGGGTAGTTAACCCTGGTAGTTATCATTATAAATAGATGCGGCTGCCGCAGATAATTGCAATTTTTATTTTCACACATATTTCACTGTAAATGAACGACTGACCAATTGAATTCATCAATTAAAATTTAAAAAAATTACTGCAGATCACAAATAATTCAAGGAAATTTTCTCATGACTAATATGACTAATAATACTAATGACAATAATTACATTAATCTTGAAAACTATTTGCGGCAGCCGTAGTTATTTGCAGCAGCCGTAGTTATTTGCGGCAGCCGTATCTATTTATGGCAACAGTAACTATTTATGGCAAATGGTAGCTACCAACAGTTATTTACGGCAATGTTAGCAATCACTTGCGTCCCAAATGGAATTAGCTGGAGGCATTTAAAATTTTTTTTCATTTATTTGATTGTTTTTGCGGATCATCTATACTCAAAAGTTAATATTAAAAGATTTTGAAATCAACATGTTGGATTTTGAAAAAACACCACCGTTCAATTCAACTTTAAAAAAGGAGTCGATTCATGTAAAAAAAATTTGTCTTCATTTTTTAAATTTGAGAGTTTGCGATAATAATTTTCGTGTTATACTTACTGTATATACAATAATTTTGAATCACATGTCCAAACTTGGCAATGGTCTTCTTTTGATGTAATTAATATGTTCGTTAAACTTTTTTATTTATTGTAAAGAATTTTTATTTATTAATAAAAAGGAAATAAATAATACAAATAAACCGATATATTAATATATATACATATATTGTAAAAAATACTATATAATCTCAACAAAATTTGGAATTTTTCAAATTGCTAAGGCTCAGCCAATTTTTAGTTTAAGAAAAATCTAGCCGACAAGTTTTGAAGCTAACCAATTGTTACTATAAGCGATTAATGATTATAAATGATCAAAAGAACTAAACAAATATATTGTTTTTCATATCAATATTAACTACTTCCAAACATTTAATATGGTTTGTATTTCTTCCAAATTAAGATAAGGTTTGACTTTAAGAGCTTTCCCGGTGTGAGGTTTTCAGAAGAAGATGAAGCCAGAGATACATTGAGACTTTCCATATGCAATCTGGTAAAAGAGAATATTAATTAGGCGTTGGATTGGTTGATCCAACTGTAACCCATGATCCAAGAACTAGGCTTTTTAATGAGTCGTCCAATTTACCTGGGCAGTGATTACTGGTGGTTTTTAAGGAACTCATCCCAAATGGTTTTTTTTTTAATTTTTTTAATTTTTTTGTGTAATTTAAAAAAATTTTATTTTCTGGTGTGATAATTATCTACCCGTGATATATTCAACGGTCCTGCGTCGTACGCAGCGAAATAAATTTATAATAACGCAGTATAAAATAAAATCGGAAATCCGGAATTAATTTATTCAGTGAAATGTGACTAACATGGACTAACATTTAATCTTATTTATTATTTTATAATAATTATGTAAGGAAATAATGCACAAGTAAAAAAGAAAGAACTAATATACAATTTTCTAATTATAAAAAAATTATTTCTAAAATAAATAAACAATAATACCCAATACATACAATGTAAAATACATAAACGATTATTATTATTTAGTGGGAATTCGAATTTCATCAACATCAATTCTATCATTATCTTGTTGTTGTTGTTGCAAATCCTTATCTTCTTGGCCATCATTTCTTCTGTCTCTCCTATCATTATTACTACAAAAATCTCGGTTCATCTGAAATCTTCTGTAGACTCCATCGAAATACCAACAAATGATCCCGATAAAAATCACCATAATGCTTACCAAGTATGGTATATAGTAAGGATATGTATCTTTGGTATTTAACGGACAATTTAAATCCGAAGTTGTTAATGGCAAAGTTGTATTACTAATTGAATTATTATAATTTTCTGAGTAATATTGTGTATCTGGTGTAAAGAATGGTGCGGTCACAATAAACACCCCCGCCATAATAAACATATATATCAGTGGTGTAGAAACCTTGTATAAATTGTAACCATCTCCGTCGAGTTTTCTAAGAACCTAATTAAAATATTTGTTACACAAATGATGTAATGTTATGCGTTATTTTAATTAAAAAATAAAACACATGCACGCACAAAAATCACTAATACTAACAAATAATCCAATTGCGCTTAGCGTGTAATAAATCCAAGAACTATGCATTGACATGTTTATTAAAAATTTAAATGGATCATTCCCAAAAAAAAAATAGTATAATCACGCTACACCAAATATACTGTGCTCCTAAAGCATAGACCGGTGTATTGTATGTAGGATGCCATTGTTTTAATAAGTGTGAAAATACTGGGATGTAATTATGTTTGGCTGCTGCTACAATTACACGTGATCCACTATATAAATATTACCCAATAAATAATATTCGTTGTTATTTTTTAGGAAAAAAAAAAAGAACTTTTGAATTTTTGAATTAATGTTTACCTCCATATTAACACTGCCATAACACCTAGTGCAGAAATACTGATCAAAAATGCCAAGATTCTTCCGAATATTTCTCCACCGACAATCATGGCGAATTGCCCTGCAATTACCTAAATAGGCAAATAAACAAATATAATTGAATTAGCTATATATATATATATATATATGTATATATATATATATCAGATATTAATTACTTCATTTGGATTTTGTTCTGGGCGAATCACAAGTTCTCTCGGTACGACGGAAATATATGCAATATTTGTAAAGATATCTGATTTACATAAATGGAAATAATTATGTTAATTAATAATACACATGTATGTATGTATATACAATATTTATTTGATACTTTACACAATATACCGACAATGATCACACTATAACGGTTACTGTTCATAAGTTTGTTTTCAGGGGCTTTAAGCTCGTCGATCGAGTCTATAAAATAATTGTATTGATAAATTTGAAGTTAGTCGCATAATTTCCACGATATATATATTAAACTTTGATTTATTTAAAAAAAAAACTTACAATTAAGATTGTTATACCCGTTATAGGCAAACAAAACCTAATATAAATATCATAAAATAATTTAATTATTGATATTAAAATAAAAATTAAAATAAAATAAAACTTACACCGATCATGGCTAATGCAAGTGAATGTGGAGTTAACTGAGTTTCATCAAATAAATGGTTCCAATTGTCTTTATTTATCGATGAGTTCAGTTTAATCAAGCCAATCAACGAAACAGCAATTAATGTACAGGTTTTGATTATTGTTAAACATTTATTGATGTTGTTGGCCAGCCGGTTAGAGTACATATGATACAAAGTCACAAAAGTGACACTTGCCAATGAAATCAATCGAATTCTCCAAAACTCCCATCCGGTTAAATATGATTTTGGATGAAGCGATGATTCGATACAGTCATGGTTTGAAAACGCATAAACAATATACTGGGAGAATATATTGGAGTCAGCAATAATTGTCCCGGGACGGATAACCATTATCATGGCGAGACTGAAAATGTAGGAGAGCAGATACCGGGGGTATCTGAATGCTTCCATTAGGTACACGACTTCTCCTCCGCCTCTTTTTACTCTAAGACCGAGTTCAGCATATACCAGACTCCCGAATAAGCTGATGAACCCTCCGAGAATCCATAAAATTAAAGATAATCCGACAGATCGTGTTTCCTCCCATACTATCCCCGGAGTGCTATATATTCCCTATATATATATAAAGTTAATGAATTGATTATTAGAATTAAAAAAAAATTCCTTCCTTTTTATTTGTTTACTTACCACGCCGATGATATTATTAATGTTAATCAATAAACCAGACATAGAATCTAGAATTCTTTTGTCTTCTCTATCTACACTATCATCAGAAATGGTAGAAACATCATTTCCATGTAAATCTAAATCTTGACTTTCCACTTTGTCCATTTTTAATTTTTATTAATCTTTCAAATTATAATTTAAAATTATCGTTTATATTATAAAAGTTTTCGTTTTCTTTAAGAAATAAAATTTTGAATCAGAGGAAAAGTAACGACTTTTATAAACGATTTTTTATTGAAAGATATTTAGAAATCGCATCTAAAAATAAAAATAAAAATAAATCTAAAAATACATATTCATTGTTCATCTATATAAAGAAAAAAAATAATAGTGATCTTTAAAGTTTTTTGTTTTTAAAAATGATTATCGATTTAAAAAAATAATGAGACTTTATTTCGCTAAACAATGAATGAGTTTCCAAATATGGTCGAACAATAAAATAGA